TTTTTTCTTGATTTCAGATTATTTGAACTTTGGCTAGATAAGAACGGAATTCAGTTGTTCTTGGTTGAAAAACAACAAATGTAATCGAATTAAATGGAAAAGCCAATGAGACATAACTTTTCCCACATTAACATTTCACAAAGGGAAAGTGCGAACAGTTGTTTCCTCAGGTTTTGCCAGTAAACAGAGTCATTGTGTTACCACTATTTGGCTAGCGCTGATTCATAGAACCGTTTTCTATCGATTCGAGACAATGCAGTTTAAATTTCTTCAAGAAGTCTTCACCTTCCTTGTACGCGTCTTGTTTGGAATGTTGCTGTGGTTTTTATTCTTGGATATTCTGGTTCGCGCAAAATTCGTGTTTTACAGATGTTCCTTTTTGTTTTTATCGTTTTCAAACGAAAAATAAAAGACAAATTAAAACAAAACCATAAAAAGAAAAAAGAAAAAAAAACAAGAAAAAACAAAACAAAACCAAACAAAACTCTATCAAGACACCTAAAGCCTTGGTCAAACGGGGCATGATAGTTGATGATAGTTGATGATAGTCGATATAGGCTTCAAAAGCGAGCAACATTTTCAATGCGACACTAGCTGATATTAATCCTCATATTTTGTTTTATATGACACGTTTCGCTCAGACTTACAGTATTGTGCAAAAGTAATGCAAGCGATAATCGTTGAATATCGCACTTTGTTCTTGCGATATTTCGTTGATATCTCGGCAATATATCGCAGATATAAGCGACGCGTGGCAACGACAATTCGACGAATATATCGGCGCCTCCCGTCGATATCTCGCCGATTTATCACACTTGCGAAACATCTCCGCAGCGATATCTCGTATTGCGCGCGACGGATTCATAACGATATATGGCTCAGTTTACACATCAACTCTGGTTCAAAGGAGGAGGCGTGGCTGGCCCCATCTCAACCTTTCTTGCTTTCGTTTTGAAAACAAGCGAGAGTTATTTTCCGCTAGTTTTAGAACATACAATGTAATAATAATGCTTGTTACATGACGCTACGTGNTTTCAGTAACTCAAGAGTTATTGGCTTGTAAGGTTTTGGCTAGAGAACTGTTTTTTCTTGATTTCAGATTATTTGAACTTTGGCTAGATAAGAACGGAATTCAGTTGTTCTTGGTTGAAAAACAACAAATGTAATCGAATTAAATGGAAAAGCCAATGAGACATAACTTTTCCCACATTAACATTTCACAAAGGGAAAGTGCGAACAGTTGTTTCCTCAGGTTTTGCCAGTAAACAGAGTCATTGTGTTACCACTATTTGGCTAGCGCTGATTCATAGAACCGTTTTCTATCGATTCGAGACAATGCAGTTTAAATTTCTTCAAGAAGTCTTCACCTTCCTTGTACGCGTCTTGTTTGGAATGTTGCTGTGGTTTTTATTCTTGGATATTCTGGTTCGCGCAAAATTCATGTTTTACAGATGTTCCTTTTTGTGTTTATTGTTTCCAAACGAAAAGAAAAGACAAATTAATACAACACCATAAAAAGAAAAAAAAAAACAAGAAAAAACAAAACGAAACAAAACAAAACAAAAAAAAAAGAAAACTCTATCAAGACACCTAAAGCCTTGGTCAAACGGCGCATGATAGTTGATGATAGTTGATGATAGTTGACGATAGTCGATATAGACTTCAAAAGCGAGCAGCATTTTCAATGCGACACTAGCTGATATTAATCCTCATATTTTGTTTTATATGACACGTTTCGCTCGGACTTACAGTATTGTGCAAAAGTAATGCAAGCGATAATCGTTGAATATCGCACTTTGTTCTTGTGATATTTCGTTGATATCTCGGCAATATATCGCACATATAAGCGACGCGTGGCAACGATAATTCGACGAATATATCGGCGCCTCCCGTCGATATCTCGCCGATT